TCGTCCGTCTCGGTGTCCGTGCCAGACTCTGAAGATGTGGAAGATCTCTCCCTTGCGTAAGGTCGACGGGGCCGGAAGGGTTGGGCGGCTCTTGGGCTCCGAGCACGCCGAGGACTCACCCTCCGGCCGGGCGTGGGCGACTCGGTCTCGCCAAAGTCATCATAGGCGTAGTCTGCGGCTGGATATCGTCCCCTTCTATAGGTTTCCGTCACTGGGGCTCTCGACAGCACAGGTACGGGCATCGTCTCGATGACGGTGGCAGACGCGCCGCTGCTGTTCCTGGAGGTTCGGTTTCGTCCGGGGGACGAAGTTATCTCGGGTCCTTGTATAAGGTCTTTGGGCCTCCGATATGGGAGCGAATCTAAGGACGTCTCACCACCGGCACGCCAACCATGGTCAGCGACAGGCAGCGGCCCTTGAGGGTAGCGGCGTCGGGTCGTTGTCCTGTGCCAGTCTTCCACATCTCGGTAGGCCATTGGGCGTCAGAAAGCCTCATCCGGGAGAGGGAGCGGGAGGAAATTGGGATCGAGGCAGGACGGGACGGGAAGTCGTGAGTCGAGGGTGTGGGAAAAAGGGCAGCGGAACAGCTGGTTGCTCGCGAGTGGGCGGACTTAATGCATGCCTATAGCTGTGATTGGGCTTGGATGACGGGTTGCATGTCGGACATGCACTATGCAGGCGGGCGAGAGATGATATGGCGCGCCCTAAGAATCGGGACGATGGCGATTGTTTGCCTCGCTCTCGTGAGGTATCAATCGGGCAGCAGCGCAAGCTGTTTGGTCGGGTTGTCGTGTGTTGTGGAGAGGTGAGAATTGAGAGGGACCAAACAGGATGCGGGCTGCTTCCTGTCTGCTGGGCGGCTGGTGGGATCACGAAATACCCAGATAGGTAGACGATCGAGGTGGTCAAGCCAGGCTACCTTACGTACGGACTTGGAACCAAGTAGTCAAGGTAGGCAAGGTAAGTAGGTAGGTAAGGTAGGCAGTAGACATGACAGATGGAACGAGGGGTTCTTGTTTATTCGGCGGTACAAGACACGTCTAAGGCAAGGAAAGCAGGCAGCCTAAGGTTGCCGCGAGTGGCTGTCCCCAGTCCCATAAGGGCAGAAAAGCAAGCAAGGGAAGGGACATTTCCCGTCGAATCCTCAAACCTGAAAATGACTGCAACATGGCAAGGCCGTTTGTGTGTGTGTGTGTGTGTGAGAGAGAGAGAGGGAGAGAGAGAGAGAGAGAGAGTCATTCCATAGCCCGAGCTGCAGCTGCGAAAGGGGGTTAGGGGCGCCACAGATGCGGCAACCGATTGGTTCCCCTTCCACGTCCAGGGCTGCGTGTTGCGGCAGTGGGGTGGAATCGAGACGTTGCTGTCTCTGTGTGTCTCTGCCACTCACCCAGCTGCTCCACCTTGAGAAGGCAGATGGAAGCAATCAAAGTCGATTCATACAGATGCACCGGCCCGTTTGAAGTTGGTTCCATCACGTCGGCTTTCCGTCCCAGAAGATGCTGACGTGACAGACAGACGGCAAAGACACACGGCCGATGCGTCCGCCGTGAGTCGTCGTCTGAGCAGGCGGCCAGTCCGAACTCCTCCACCACCTGTTGCCAAGGTTGGCAGAAGGGACTGGACGGTTGGTTCACTTCAGTTCACACCGTGCGCGTCCAGCAGCGCGGGAGAGGAGTGAGGGGGCAGGAGGTGAAGTGCCTTGGGGAACGGTGAGGGAACCCTGAAGGATGCTTCGCGGGAGCGAACCGGAGGCTGAGCCTTGATGCTAGCGCTGTCGCTCTGCAGGGGCTGCCCTGGATGATCTGACCGCTCTGGCCGCCGTTGCCCTGGACCGCCCTGGATTTGCCCTGACGTGCCCTGATTTGTTGCCCTCCTAGAGCAGTCCCGACCCGTCCGTCTTACAAGTTACAACAGCCGTCTGCAGTGTGCGGACGTCGCAGAAGCGAGCGAGCCGCTGGAGTCACGCACCGTGGCGTCGCGCCATGCCATCTTGACCCATGACAACGGTGCCGGCCCGTCATGAGGGCTGTGATCTGACACATAGTCTCATTGTGCACTGAAGGAACCCAAGGTTACTCAAGTACCTACTTAGGTACCTTACGTTGGCAATTGGATACGTAGTGCCTTGAGGTAAGGTGCTGAGGGTCTACCCTAACAATCCACTCTTCCCCACGATATCGAACACCGAAATCCCGCATGCTGTGCACAAGGTTCACCACAACGTGCAAAATCGGGCTATGCACCATAATGCACGTTAGCTAGTCTGAACGGCGTCTCGGTCTGCCGATGTCTGCCGTGCTTTCCCGTCCCGGTTGGTCGGTGCGGGGCCGGTCCGGTGGTCGGAGCTCCTGTCTGGTCTCGTGCGGCTGACCGCCTTATCTCATGCCCGGATTCCTTGGCTCAAAATTTCGCAGAATGCATCCTGACCAAGAAATACGAGCTAATAGAGGCCTGGTGGCTGGATTAATTAGAGAAAGAAGCAGATTAACGGCAATTCCTAACTCTATACAGGTATATACTAATACCCGAGCTCCAAGTGCTCTATTCGGGGAGAACTCCCTTGGGACATCACCTAACTCAGAAGGAATCGACTACAACGACGAGAAGGACGACGAGAAGGACGACCAGACCGCTGCTCACATGAGGACTGTATATTGTATCCACTAGCATTTCAGGCGCGTAGATTCTCTTGAATGTTCATAGCATAGTTATGGTGTTTCAGCTCGTGTACTTTAAATTTGTGCACGTGGCGTCAACGGCAATCTACTACGAGTGAATGCGATTTGTTGACCTCAGTGGCCGCTCTTTGAGATACAGCTCCTCTGGTAACGTACCTGTTTTGGTACATCTCAACATGAGACTGCTGGAGATGCGTGGCCAGGCGAAAGTTGCCGCTCTTGCAAGCAAGACCGAACTCACCGCAACCCCGGCGCATCGAGCAGACTATAAAGCGCACAAATACCGGCATCTGCTTCTTTTCCTATGCGGCGGCGCCAGCATACAATTTCTCGCATCCATCGCCAATTTTGACAGTCCGCGTTCGCTCGGATTGGTGGATCTTCCGTCCTCCACACGACATCCTGCACCTCCCCCGATGCTTCGGTCCCACGATTGCCCGTGCAGGGCCATCTGGTCCGTTCCCGCATCCTGGACTCCCGGCTCTGAACCCCACATCCGCACCGGCACTCGAAAACGGATACTTGGTCCCGGTACCACGGTGCCTTTTGCCTCCTTCCAGAGCTGAAGAGTCATCTGTCAGGGAGGTTTATTACGCAGTGGTTCGTTCATGTCCCACGTGTGCCCTGAGGAGGTTCCCGGAAAAGAAGAAAAAAGTGGGGGGTCGCAGCGACATAGCGGCGATTGACCCTCGCATTCCTTTGGACCGACGCCGCCAATCCGCGGGCTCGGAACGCATGTTGATGTCGAACAGACACTGACGAGCAGAGAGGTGCTATCTCACCACGATAGAATGCCGGCTATCGACTTGGAGGCCGTCGGTTGGCTATGTGGCGCGCGCCAGTCCTCGTGCATAGACAATGACAGCCAGTTAATATGAGGCATGCCGGCACCCGCGTTGTCGATAGATACCTTGACTGCTTCCAGAAGGCGCGATATGAAGCTACCAATATCAACTCGTCATTATTCATTGATTCCTTGTCCACAAAAAGCACGGAAATCTGGACATGTTTACATTTCCTCACCCGCGCACATCTCCATCAAATGGGCCGTGTTCGATCAAGAACCCACAAGATAGACAACCGCGAGTTTGACTGCATGTTACCAAGAAATCGCGACGTCTCCTAATGACAAGGAAGAGTACAACATAGAGTCAGCATAGCGCGCCTCGTGACTGCCCTGTATGTGAGATCGCTTGACATGCATCCTCCAAGTCTTTCCCCTTGCGTGCATGCAACTCATGGGTGGGAACCCCGCGCAGCCCAAGCTTGTTGGGGCAAGTTTGCGTCCCTGGACTGATCGCCCTGCAGCATAATCTCACGTCCTGCTGGACGTAGACTGTGACCTTCTGAATGGGGGATTATTTGTCCTGTTTGGTAACTAGGGCGCGTTGATGGATGGACGCTGTGCTGCGCCTATCCGAGCACCATCCGGGTTTAAAAGAGGCGCATGCTTTTTGGACTTGTGTTGGTCTTTTCGGCACACGCAGGGGTATTTTGTTGGCAATGCTAATTCCTACAGTGATATCTTGAAAAGTAGACGAGTAAATCCAGAAGGGAAATATCTTTCCTCCCCGCAGACTTGAAAATCTTTAAGATCTTCCATGTTCACTGTCCAAAGCTCTGCGATAAAGTCTAGGTGAAGTGCCCGTCAACAATGGGACACTACATGGGTCGAGCGGCCTCGAGTGGCTTGCGGCCAGATCGCTGGCGAGGCGGCGTCTCTGAAGCCGTCAGCAGGAAACCAGCCGCTGAAGAATCACTCCGAGCACCAGCAGAGTCGCGCTGGTGAGAAATGACAGCAACCAAGCCTCTGTCCTGTGATCCTGCTGCCATTCCCGGAGATGGCGGGTGAGGTATCTTGAAGAGGGTTGGCGTGGAATGGAGTCATTGGTTGAACGGGTGAGCGCCGGAGGGTCGGTCCGAATACCGGTGAGCCCAGTATTACCCGCCAACCACGCCTCCCCAATTTGCAGGTCTCCACACATCCCTTCTCCAGATGATGCAACCCCAGACTGTTTCTGCACCCCAGATGTTTCTCTGGCATTTTGCTGCCTGTGTACCTGTTGAGGCCGCTTCCCCACGTTTGGAGACGATTCGGAAGGCCGGGCAGCGATATCACCGGGGGTTCAGAATATCAGAAAGACGGCAGACGTTTTGTAGTCGACATTGAGGCTGGAGCCAGGATCGAGGGTGCTTTTGCACTCCTGTCAGACGCAAGGCCACACATGCGTGCAGTTTGTTTCTGGGCATAGCACGTCCTGCGTGGGTCTTCTTCCCAAAATATTGGAGGAAGGTCGTACGAGCAGCGGACTGGCACAGCCCTCAACCGCTCAAATATGCTCTCCGTCTGACTTCGGCCTCCTTGATGATTTCCGCTGCCAGGCTGAGACTAGGCGCCAGCGTCGAATATCGCTCAATCTCCATCACCACGTCATTAATGATCTGGTCGATGGTTTCCCGGTGAGGAACGAGGGTCAGCAGAATGCTGCTCAGAGAGGGTGACATGGTGGCACCCATAACAAGAAGCGTCTGCGACACAATCGAGAGGGCACCTTGCCACAAGTATGGCATATGTCCGGCATGACTGCGGCGAGTTAGCAGTGGTACGCCGAGAGTGGCATGCCATCACCACAGCACGTGGCGTGACCAATCAGTAACACTTACTGCGCATTGATGTGCTCCAGTTGCCGAATGGAGGCTTCCAGGCACTTGTGGCAATTCTGTCGGACAGCGGGATCCAACACAGCCTGCTCATTGTCCAGTACGGCCAAGATGTACGGGCGGTAGATGATTGTCCGACAGGCGTAGAATCGCAAGCGCAGGACCGTCTGCACCGGATCTGAGAGCACGGTGCGGCCAAATGGGAACTGCAACGGGATCGGCAGGCTCTCGTACCATTGTTGCAACTGAAAATCGAGTTCCGCCACGACCGGCTCCAGACTGGTGGTCGACGCCATCGAGTCTTTGGAGTAGATGAGTTGACTGACCCTGTTGAGGAGCCGCCGGAGCGCGATCTCAGCCAAGAAGTACCACAAGTCGTCTCGGCCAATCGCTTCTTGCTCCTCGCCCTCGAAGCCACCAGGGAGGCCAACGTTCTCCTCAAACTGAACGACGCCCGAGTGTGGCAAATCCAACTCAGCGAGTAAGTCGCTCTCGAACAGGAGCGAGTTCCAGTAGATGCGCTCAGTGAGCTCCCTCTGATTAGGCGGCACCCTGTTGGGGGACATGAGCAGAAGTTGCAACTTGGTACTTGTGGTGCAGAGTAGGTTCCAGGCCTCGAGCGGTCGCACGAGGTAGAACAGATAGGCCGAAGCGAGAAGGTGGCACTGGGCAGCCAGGACGTTGTTCGATGTCATCATGCCGGGAAGAAGGGCCCAGGCTGCGGTGAAGTACTGTAGGCCGGGCGCATCCTCTCCAGGAACGATTCTGGAGATGCTGCCTCTCAAACTTGCTTGACCCAATGCCAGGACAAGCAGGACGATGCAGCTCTCTGCGCCCTCTCGGAAGCCGTTGGAGAGGGCTGTGCGGTAGTGACTCCTCCAGGTGTAGGGGTTCACGCAGGCATACCACACATTGACTCGTTCAAAATAAGCCTCGATGTAGGCGGTGGTGTTGGAGAGGTCGACGCATGGGGTTTTTGTGAGTGAGTGCAGCGGTTCGCGGGCCATTTCCAGCTGCAGGAGGATCTGCGGGTCGTAGGGTCGAGATACGAGGTCGCGGATGAGAGGCCACTGAAGCAGGTGCAGGGCGGCGTTGGTGTGTAGCTTGGGCATGGTTGAGATGTTGGTCGGGTTGTTCCAGGTGCCTAAACCACCGTTAGGAATAATTGAGACGAAGTTGCCGGTGCCTGAGATTCCCATCATACTGTCTCCATTGAGTCCTGAGCCGTTGCTCATTGAGGGAGACTCCTGGTTGATGGCGATGCCACCGTTGGCCTGGCCTGCGACCATGTTCATCTGCAGCAAGCTCTCGATACGATTCAAGCGCTCCAGAATCAACTTGTCGCCGGCGTCCAGCTTGATGCCCGGCTCTCTGTAGATGCACTCGGCTCCGAGCTCGGTGCAGAGCTTACACTTGGGCTTGGTTCCATCGCAGCGAGACTTGCGAGAGCGACACACTTCGCACTATTGCAGTCGTCAGTGATGAGCCCTGGGCCAGGTCTGCAGGGGCAGGATTATCGTCAAGGGGACCGAAAAAACGTACCGCGATGGTGGCTCTCCTCCTCGGGTAGTCGACGCCAGCGTCTGTGTTTCTCCTTTTGAGCGGGTTGGAGCCCTCATCACTAGACGGCTTGTGTACACCGTTGGTCAAAGCATCGGGGCGGTGGTCGGAAGACTGAGACATGTTCCGGGCTTTGTGGGCGGAGCCAATGAGACCATCTCTGCTGAAACTGGGTGTTCTCTGAGTCTTAAGGGAGGCGGGCGACTTGAGTGGATGTATGCCGTTTACGATGGATGTCATTGAGGGCGAGGGAACCTCGATGTTGAAGTTGTCGCGCGAGGGGACGGAGAAGGGCCTCCCCGCTGTGCCGCTGGCTGAGTGGGGAGAGTCGCCCGTCGAGGACGGGGACATTGCCTGCGTCTGGAGGCGCAACAGTTGTGTGGAAGACGTGAGGGGCAGACTTTGATGCGCCGCGAGAGCGCAGCGCAGCGCAGCACAGAAAGAGAAAGCCGAGTCGGGTCGCGTGGTATTGAGTTAACTACCGTACCTAGGTATTTGGTGGATCGTTTGACGGGGAAACGTCCGAGAAAGCGGGCAGCAGTCAGTTGTCGGCCAGGCAGGGCAGGGCAGGGCAGGGGCGGCGGCAAGTACGTCGAGTGGTGGCGGGCTCCTCGGTGCGACCAAGGCTTTTTAAGTCGTCGACCCGCGGCAGAGACTGTCAGGCCACACTCGAGGTTTTCGAGGAAGCTTTTTTGCCTGTCACTTGGGAGTAGGGGACGGGAGCGGTTGGACGGCGGGAGAGAGGGTCGAGGGAAGGAGGAGGAAGAAGAGGATGATGTGATGCGCGGTAGTGGAGCAGGTATCATTCTTATTATTCTGGACCCGAGAAACGACGGGAGGGAAAATGCGGAGGATGCCATACGACGACTGACTGGTGCGATGCTTGCTCTTGCTGGGCAGAGTGGCAGGCCAGTCAGAACCGAAGACTGCAACGGGCATGGGACGAAATGGGCATGGCATGGCATGGCATGGCAGGGCAAACCGAAAGACCACGGAACCGGGGAAAGGATGCAGGACAGGGGTATTGGTTTTCTCTCAGCCGTGTGGTGTCGTGTCTCGTTTGCTGCCATGCGCGTGAATACCAACCAGTAGAGTACATTGGTGTTTGGTTGGCTTCTGGTCAAGTCACCCGCAGCCAATTTCCATCCGGGCAGGGGAGGGTAGTGGTGGTGCTCAAAAGGAGTGAGGGGTTGGTCTCGCGTGGATGGATGGATTGGAGTCGGGCAAGGCGTGGAGGGTTTTGGAGTAACGCGGGAAGGAGGCGCCTCGGACTGGAACCTAGGTAGGTAAGGTGAAGGTAGAGAGAGGTTCACTGGACCTGCCCGTCAACCTACCTACCTACCTAAGGTAAGGTACCTAACGGACTGGACGGTAGGTATGAATTACCTACCTACGTAGTTACCTTACCTAAGACACCTTACCTCGGGCAGGCACCTTCTACCTAGTTAGTGACTGAGGTGCCCTCCCTGTCCTTCCATTTCTTCAGCGTCCCTCCCGTCTTCGGGCTCCCGTCCTTCACGTGGTCCATCGTTGAGGTGCTGCTGCATCTCCAATGGAAGCCAGTGGAGGGCCATCTGCGGCGGGAGTTGCTCGCTAATCTTGGACAATTCCATCACATAATGTTGCTTAGCATTTAGACACCTCCTCACAATTTCAAGCCACGCGAACAACCCAGCATCCCATCCCGCTGCCACATATTACAGCCGTCACTTGTGATCCAATAATTGCCGTCTCGCCAGCTTGGTCCCCGCCCGTGGTCCAGTCCCCGCGAATCCGGGGTGCGGGCGGCTGGAAGGAATCCATACCTTAGGTATCTACATATGTACTGCCTACGGTCCCCATCAATCCCATTCGATACCAGATTCAACTCGCTCATACGTAGCTTGCTGCAGGTCGCTCGCCAGGGCCTTCTCTGCCGTGCCCACCATATTCTCGACGCAACCGCGGCCGGTGAACCAACCTTTGGCACCGTCGCCTGCTGATTTCCTTGGTTCAGAGTCGTATCGAGCCGTTCTTCCGTAAGCCGCGGACGTCTTGTTTCCACTGTCCATTTCTATGACACAGGACGGGAAGAAGCAAGCCTCTTGACCCCCGAAATGCAAGTCGCCAACGGAACCCGATGAACGCTTCAGCTTGCATGCGTGCACGCCAAAAAGACACAAGTTCACCCAACTCTTATTTTTGAACTTAAATCTGGTAATTGCTATGAACCTGCTGCCTTGTGCTTCAAGAAGAAAGACAGCCCGTTGTAAGTGAGGCAAGGCCTTGCTTTCGTAAAGAAAACATCAGACCCCCGAGACCAAACCGGCAAACCTACTCGTCAAAGATGACAGCAGTGACCTCGCCCTCCACCTTGGTGCTGGCAATGATCTCTCCCAGCTTGCCCGAGACGGCGTCACGGCTGATGAGGACAACGCGACTGTCCGACTGGAGACCGACGGCGACGAGCGAGCCGGCCTTGTTGACGGAGAACTGGCGAGGGATGCGGCCTCCGGCAGGGAACTTTTGCAGGAGAGTGAGCTCACCCGTCTCCGCGTTGATGGTAAAGCTGTTAAGGGAGTCGGACGGAATCTGAGCGCCCTCGTTGGTGTCCGGGTTGGTGATGCTGAAAGCGCTATCGTTTCGGGAGGAGACGGTCAGGAACTTTCCGTCGGACTGTACAGTGTCAGCCAAGCATTATCACCATCACCACCATCATTGTCCCCAGATGTTCTTAGAGTCACGGAACTTACGGAAATCCAAATCTCAGCACCGCTGGCTCCCGCGGGCGCGGTGTTGCCAGCGCCGTAGGTCGAACCAGAGTACACCTCCTTGAAGCCGAGAGTCTTGTTCTCGCGGTAGGTGACGTCGTAGGCGGTCACGGTGTTTGCCAGCTCGGCGATGAGATACATGTACGTCTTGCCTTCGGAAGTCACGAGAAACTCGAGATGGCGGGGTCCGCTGCCGGGGGCGGCCACCAAGGGTTCGACAGCGGCAAGGTTCTTGCCATCAACGGCGAAGACGCGGACAAGATCGGCCCCCAGGTCGGGGACTAGCACGAAGTGGCCCTTGGGGTCGAGGACGACCTCGTGAGGGTGGGGTGCCTCTTGTCTCGAAGGGTTAGGGCCCGGGCCGGTCATGTTGAAAGTCTCGGACTTGACGGGCGTGATGGCCGCTGGGTTCGAGATGTCGAACCAGCTCAGAGAGGAGCCTCCACTGCATCAGATTTTAGAGCCATGATCCAAGGAAAAATGTCGTCAACGCCTATTCCGACTTACTACTGAGCAACGGCCAGGCCGGCCCCTTTCTCACCGAAAAGAACAGCGCTCACCGGCCCGCTGATCGTGTCAACCTTGGACAGCTGCTCCAGCTTGCCGTCGGGGCCGGTCGTGAAGGACGAGACAGTGCCGTGGTCGGTGGTCAGACCCTCATCCGTGCAGTAGAGCTTCGCGTTAGGCTTATCGAGGGTCAGCCACGACGGGCTGGGGGCGCATCCGTTGGAGGTCGAGATGTTCTGCAAGGTAGACTGGGTGCCGTTGTTGCCCGAGAGGGTGAAGTTGAGCGTGGTGATGGCTCCGCTGTACGACGACGCAAAGAGAACCGTGGCAGCAGCCGGCGCGGGCCCTGCCAGGGACGACAGCAGCAACGACAGGAAGCCTGCTGGGAACAAATCTCGCATCATGTTGGGCAGCTGGAGTACGACACTGGCAACGAGCTTCGTGAACGAGTGGCAGGGACGGTGTGGGTGACAGGCGAGGCAGCACACCAGCAGCAAGACGGAAACGAGACACAATAAGAGAGCGAGAGAGACGGCAAGGAAGGCGGGCACGGAATGCAACGATGAGAGAAAGGGACGACGCCGTCTTGAAGAGCGAGGACGGCGCATTTTCGGTAGTACCCCAACCGGGACCACCCTACGAAGGTCGAGAAGACGCCATGAGCCAGGGGTAAGGACGGGTCCTGCCTCCAGGTCTGTTAACGATTGTCCCATTGATCAACATCCTTGGCTCCCTGGTCTTGCTGGTCTTTTTTTGCCTTGGAAACCCCACAGACTGCGGTTGCTTGGACGGCGAAACTGGGGCCAAGGTTACCCGTCCTGGAGGCGAACGGGATTCTTCCGTGCTTCTGGTCGTAACCTTAAAAGGCTCGACACTTTATCCGGGGCAGGGCAGGCCTCCGCAGCGGTAACCCCGGAGAGCCGCGGGTGTGGTATGTTTGGATACGCACAGAGAGAGTGTGTCCTGCGTAGAGGCCGTGTGTGAGAAGGAGGGTGAGAGGCGCAGAGAGGCCAGAGTTCAGGCGAGTTGGAACTCCTGTCGGAGGCGGAGTGAAGGGCGGGCACTTTTTGAAGAATGGTCAACGTTCCTGGTGGGCAGTCGATGGCGGTAGGGACATACCCTGTAGCTGTTCAGGGGTGAAGCACCAGTGCCGGAGCGCGCCGTCGTCTTGGGAAGAAGATATCCGGCCGTTGAGGGACCACTCGCTGGGCGGTGGGCATGCAGTACGTACGGACCGGCTTTCCCCTGCAACTCTGGCAAGGAAACTCGGGGGAGAAGAATGAGCGACGGACACATCGGATGAGCCAAATGGAGAGCGCGAACCGCAGTGTCTCTTCATCCGGTGTTCGCGCAGGCACACCACACCACTATATAGTACTCCAGCGAACCGTTCGAAAATAAGTGTCACACAAACTCTCGAAAGTGTGGTTCGGGTGGAGAAGGTTACCTTGGGCTTTTGTCGTGTGCCGTGTCTGATGCGGAGAATGTGGAGAAGAGAGAGAGGAGGCCAAAGAGGAGCACGAGGAGAATGGAGGAGAAAGACTGGAGGGCAGGAGGAACATGCGGAGAGAAGAGAGTGGGGTGGGACAAGACACGGAGATGATGGTCGGCGAATCGGCCTGGCCCGACGAACCGGGCTCGGCTTGAGAGATGGTTCCTGCCGCCTCTCTTCCCTCCAGGGTCTCAGCCTCCGGCTCTGTCTTTCTCTCTCGCCTTGTCCTCACCTTATTCCCACCGCTGCACATTCACGCATTCACACATTCATCATCGACAATCTCCTGTCACCCAGTCATCTGATTGGGAGCCACCGATCTCCGGCAGTCAGATGACACAGTTGATGGGCGCAACAACTTGATTGGCTACTTATTTCACCTGGCTTGAAGAACGTGAAGCTGCCATGTGTTGTGGCGACGCAGACATGTGGGTGTTTTGCTGGCTCGCATACGTGACGAGTGACCACAGGATGCGCATTATTAGGTAGCATAACCAAGCTATACGGATGGTACTATACGGCGAATATTCTCCATCCCTCTCTCCCTTACGGACGAGTCACATACGGCTGCAGTCTTGAAGCCCAGGCGGCCTGGGCATCTACAGAATCTAGTGCCTATCTCGGAGATCTTACCTTCACTAATGAAGCTGTCCCCGTTGTAGCCTGGGAGAGTCTGATTCTCAAGTGTCCAAGGCATAGTTTTCGAAGCCAGGCCGCACCAAATGGGCCCCGGTTCTACCAAACTTCCACTTTGTTGGAGTGCCGTCCTCCTCTTTGCCTAAAATCAGGCACATTGAACCTGCAAGGCTCCTGTTATGCAGAAGGGGAGTGCATCTTGTGGTGGGGGCTGCTCTTGCATAACTTACCTGAAGACATCCGGGGCAACAATAACTTGCAGCCGTCATTCCGTGCCGAGTCTCGTGGGGCCTGCTCTGCTGATAGGTGAGGTTTGTCAATTCGTGTACCAATGCTGTTGTGCTGCTGAAAGAAATCGCTGCAGTGCGGTATGTTATTGTTCTCAAGGCTAACTCACGGACGCCATCCCAAACGCTTTTTCTACCCCATCCAGACCAACTTCCTAATTGTGGCAGACGGATCGCTGTTCGGGTCAACTTAAACCTACGACATTCGAGGCCCACTCGACCAAGCCTGTACCGAAATCATTCTGTTGTCTGACCGTGCCGGTTTCCCCCCATCCACGCAGCATTCTGCAAGATCAACGGGCGCACCTGTTTGGGTCAAGATTGACTGCTTGATAGCACACTCATGCCTTTTCGAATGGGGCGCCGGTAGGCGTGCTAGTCCCTTTGGATGCAGACATACTGTATGGCGCCTGCAACTTGTGAGCGGACATCCAGTACGATGCGGTTGCTTCGTTAACTTACCAGAACTTGCTTTGCGTTGCAGATTCTCCAGGCCATCTTCTTGACATTTCCGTCAGCTGGCACAATTGCGGGAGCAAACTCAATGCCAAACATCTGGTGAATAGCGTATACGATCCGCTTGGCATACTTGCCGTCCCTCTCAACATGGCCGCCAAACGATTCTTCTACCGTGTTAGGGGCAATGTCGGGATCACGGTCGCAGCAGTTCTGCACCACGGGCAGCAGAGCTTCCTCGACCGCCCGTTCGTATATGCCGTTGGCGTCTACCTCAACATCCTCTTCGTCGAACTTGCCAATGCGGATTTCGAATGGCTGAGAGATGTTCATCACATTGTGACTGCCAGCGTGGTGAAAACGGAATTCAAAGACACCCTGGGTCCACCACAAGCGATCTCCCTCAAAAATGACCTCGCCCTCCACAAGACCAGCTTCTGACGGATCCTTCTTCGATACAGGACGGTCTGGAACCAAGATGGCCTTGTCTGCGGTGGCTGCGTCATAGTTGCCTGGAGTTGTGGGAACCCATCGCCCCAAAGAAGAGACTTCGGTGATGTCCCTGGAGTGGTTGTCGGTAACCATGTACAGGCCGATCCAATCTTTGCTGTCGTGCTTGGCTGGGGCACGCCATTTGACCTTGAGGGGAGCACCGTATTCGAAGATTTGCGTCTCAACACCGCGAGGGAAACGCGCCGTCACACTCTCCTTGCCAGTAGCCCGCTCATTCGCGGCGGAGAGGCTCGAGGGAGTGCCTTCAACCGTGAGAGAGTAACATTTGGGGTTGAGGCCTGCAAGGTCTGGAGATAGCCTTGTGATGGTCAACCGCGCGGGATACTTGTTGAAGAGAGCAGAAGTATCGCGGACAATAGTCTCGATGCCTGCGGCAAATTTGGGGCGCGCGGTGTCGAGGAACTCTTCGATAAACTGCGCGGTGCCGTCAAGAACCTTGTCAACCCCTCGCTGCCAGCCTTGGACTGGTGGGGGAAGAGACCGCTTGATGAATTTGGTGAGCCCCGCCTCTTGGCGCACGCTCCTGCCGTAGATTTTCTGCATGTGCGGCTTCTCAATGAAGTTGATGAAAGCCAAAGTGAGGATCTGACTGATCAGTGCCATGACGAAGATGGCTCTGCTCCAAGTGATTAGGGCAAGCCCCCACAAGCCTGCGGTGCCGAAGATGCGCTCAGGGTTGTTGAGGAAGCGGTAAATGGACTTGTAGGTCAACTTTGCTGTTGAGTCGTAGAAGAAGTCCCCAAAGAACCAGCCAAATTCTCCGAGCGAGTCGTAGACGCTCACAGAGGTCCAGATCTGAAGGGCAACAAGACCCGCACCAACAACGTGCTTGAGCAGAACCCAGCCGTAGGCCCAGTCCTCGGGAGGAGAGTACATCTTCCAGCAAGCTGCCAGAAAGGAACTTGTGGACATGACCAAGCTCAAGTGGTACATACCCTTCCATTGATTCCAAGCCTCAGTGTGCGTCTCGCCGAACTTGAGGAAGTGCCTTGTCCAAAACTTGTTCTTGGATTGCCCATAGAGGATCGCTCCGAGACCCAAATGATACCACACGCGCCAGAGCAGAGCATGCGACAGGAATATGGCCTGAAAAACTTGGGTTGAGGGCGTGACCAGAGTAAGGATAACCAAGTAGAGTCCAAGCAAGAGGACCGAGGTGTCAGTGATGCGGAATAAGTCGAAGTTGCCTAGACCCAGCATGTTGTGTACTTGAGGTGGGCCTTCTTTGTTTGTCGAGGCTTGTTCGACCCAAACATCTTCAGTATCTGAGGACGACTTGATAGCGACAATCTCGGATTTCTCACCGACGGCAGTCGACACGGTTCGCTTGCGTGGGGCAGGAGGATTGTAGGTTTTCTCAATGTGAGGGTTTTCAACGATCACCAAGAAGGCAAATTGGGCGAGGTGTGCAACGACGGAAATGAAGAGCACCTCATAACTGGCAGCCATCATGGAAATGCCGTAGTAGCCAGCGTACCCAATTGAGTACATGGGATGAGGAGCCATCTCGAACACGCCGTCAAAGTTCAGCTCTTGGTCAATGAGGTAGAAGAAGTCACCCCAGTACCAGGCATAGTCCTTCACGACCCGGTGAGCGTCTAGCTTCACCCACAAGTTGAAGAGAACGAGCAGGATGCCGACAATCCATCGACCGGCACCGAGCAGGAGGCTCTCGCCCTCGGGGGTGTGACCACAGATGATGGCAAAGAGACAGTAGGACACGAAGTCACACATCAAGATCAGATCGACAACACGGCGGAAGACGAGCCAGGTGTTGTACTCCATAGGAGCCTTCTCGAAGCTGTAATCTTCAGGTATCTTTGCCTCAAGTTCTCGCTTGAGCATGTTATAGAGCCAGGGCCTTGGCTGCTTGCCAGAGCTGGGATGCTCAAAGAGTTTCCATCTAGCAGCCCACGTCTCCAACCTGCGGTGTTGGGATTGAATGGTGAGAAGATAGCCAATGCCGATGTTATAGGCTGCTCTCCAGAAGAGAAAGACGAGCGCAAAGACGGGGCGTTTCCAAGAGGCCGGGATGAAGTAGGCGGCGCCGATCTGTAGGGCGAGGATGGCCAGGACCAGCAAATCGGAAAGATTCTTGGGTTGTCTCGGGTCGAGCAACTGCGACACCATGTCATGGGTCGTAGGAACGGTAAAGACTGGGCGTAGAGGGCCACGTCAGCCTCCAAAACCAAGTGGGAGTCAGAGTTGAAGAAAGCAACCATGCAGCCTACCTGTACCATCAGGAGTACGACCAAAGGTCTTGTTGGGTTTCTGGTCAACGTCTAGATCTTGACTGATGTCAGACGACTGAGACTGGTCGTCTCTGAGAAGTGAGGCATTTAGGTCCTCGGTGTGGGCGGCGGAGGACGCAGGCCTCTGACGCTGGCGAAGACCAGCATCATTGGAGTTGTAGACGATCGAGGAGGTCATTCTGGTAGAATGGTTGGCGGTTGTTGAAAATGCCGACGTCCTGTAGAGAGACTGATGGAACTTCACACACAGGGGGGTCGGTAAGGGCGAAGTGCAAGAGTAGTTCTGATGCTCAAGGTGTCCATGAGCTGCCAGTTGTCTAAATACCTGGTCTAGTAAGGTATGCAGAAGTTGGTGGGTTGCAGGTGGTTGTGCGCATGAAGTAACGTACGTGTGTGAAGAGACAGCGGCAGGAGGGGAAGAGGCAAGTACCTTACCTTAATATGAGGTGTTGAAGGTTAGACGTGGAATTACGACACAGCGACAGGGGGGGTCGGTTTCCAGTGGGAAGTCCTCCAGAGAGGGCCCCACCATTACACTAGAGCAGTGCACTGAGGGTGGGTTTTTGGGATGAAAGTGCCCGCCCGTCCCGCCCAAAGGCTTTGGATCACATGTCATAGAGACACCAGAGTTTCCTTTTTCAATGTCAAAGGGACAATTGTTGAGGCTGGCCTCAGGCCAAGTGGCCAGGTGCGGACCACTGCGGCAATCTGACGAGACCCCAATTACTACCTACTTTACCAAGAGCAAGAAAGACAGACAGACAGACAGAAGAGAGAGAGAGAGAGAGAGAGAGAGAGAGAGAGAACTGGCCCCCCTCCTTCTCCTTCAACTCAGTGAGCCCAGAGCACCACCGCCACCATAACAACCTCAGTTTGGGGGCGGCAGACCCAATCAAGCATCTGCCCGGGCGCAGATCCGATCTTACAGGCAAAGAACCTAAGGTCTTCAGATAACTTACCTTACTTCTAGTTACTATACCTTAGGGTGAATTAAGAGAATAGTAACCTTAGTAACCTGCGACCACTAATTGCCTACTGCCATCTACCTCTCACGCACTCAGCCGTCAGCAGGTACAACTGCGTGTCTCAGACGCACACGTGCAATCGCGCTCGAGTGTTGTCCCGAGCCCTAACCACCCCAGCCAGCCACCGCCTCAGGTCAACTCGATGTCTTTCTGGGTCTAGGTCTGCCTGGTCTACCTTACCTCAGGTACTTAGTGCCCACAGCGGAAGAGAAAATCCTTCACTGCGCTTCCAGCGTTTTCCTTCACAACGGCACCCAGCACATTTCATAGGTTGTCCCACGCGGGATGGGATGCTAAGGCAACCTGCAGGCAGGACCACCTTCCCGACTGCGCCAAGCCGCGCCCGGATGCGGGGCACGCCAACGACCTCTCGGAGAAGCCCAGCTTACTTACCTAACTCAACGTGTGGTGTCTTTGCAGCCTACAGCTAATTACAGAACAGAGTGCCCGTCTCTCGTCTTCTTTCGCGGCGCTTCTACTAAGCGAGGGTCTCACTGGACGCTTGGACACCCATGTACCTATCTAAGGTACCTTAGCTACCTACCTAAGGTAAGGTAAGGTAGGTGCCTTACATAAGACCGTCTGGTGCCCGATAAGAGACGGACGGAGGCTGGGCCGATAAGCAATTCAAGGGCTCGTCGCCGAAGGGAACCACCTTAGTTACCTTCCATGGCTTTACGCACCTACCTACTCTCACTTACAAGTACAACACATCCCTCTGCAACTTCAACCCCTGAGCTTGAGGTCTTTCCAGAATGCCTTCAAGATCTAAGAATCCCCTGACAAGTGTCACATCGAACCAAAACTCCCGTTGCAACGGCAACAAATAAGGCCTAACACAAAGCTTCGAGCGGAGCCGGTCCAGCATCCTGCAGACAGGGCCATGCCAGTCTCACCACGCGATGCGGAACAGCAACATGAACACTCATCAACAACATCCCTCCGCCAAATTCACGCGCATTCAAGCGCGCCACGCGTTTTGATTTGGTAGCCATGCCACCAAACACACCTCTTAGTAACCACTCATTTGCCTGGAGACTGGTCCAATGGAACGCCTCAAGTTCGGCATCCCTGGCTGGGATTCGCGCTGCCCCTCCAGGGTACGCCCGTTTTTTGCATGAACTTCTAGAATGACAGCATCAAAACACACCCACCTCGCACAAGGGCCCCTTCCTGGCTCAAATTTCTCACCGGCGGGCGCGCTTTGAAGAGTCGCTTCGTTCGGCAGTTGTATAAAGACTGCCGGCGGAGGTCCAATCCCTCTTCTGAAAACCTGACTTACATGTGGTTTTGCCTGCCAAAGCGTCTTAACTGACCTCCATTCGTTCATTGACTCTCACACACACATATTTGATACTCACTCACATAAGCGGGATACCGCCCCTCGCTAGGGAAGACATATCCTAATAATCATATACCACCCCTTGCCACCAAACAGAGCAAAAGACATGGCACGCGCTACCCCGACAGCCTCTCTGGCAGGCGACAAGCCCTTGCCGACCCGCCCCGGCACTTCAGGCACGGAGAACCTTCTCAGGACGAACCGCCGCCAAGCCTCAGACAATTACCAGCGCGCCCAGCGTGCAGAGAGAACCTACCGGGCCAAGAAGCGCGCCACCGCCGCCCGCGCCGACCTCTCCGACGCAAAGACCCACTACGCCGAGTGCTTCAAGCACCTCACCCGCGGCCTGGCCGTCACCTTTAGCGCCGTCAAGTCTCTCCCGTACGTCTTTGACGAGAAGCAGGAGGCCGCCCGCCAGAAGGCCGAGGCCAAGAAGAAGCAGCGTGCCCTCGAGAAGAAGAAGAAGCTCGAGGAGAAGCTTGCGAGGGAGAACGCCGCTGCCGAAGGCGAGACCCCGGCTGAAGATGCCGCCGCCGAGGATGCTCCTGCCGAGGAGAACGCCGCATGATGGACCATTCGCAGAGTCGAGTCGATTACGTGGTTGAAAGGAATCTAGAGCCAGACCGAGACTTTGCAGACGGACTCCTCGTGCTAGCTCTCGAGCTCCGTCTCGCATCCTTGTCTCGCGCCCATGTTTCCCTCCAAGTCAAATACACACATCTCTACCCCGCCTTCAGGACCTCACTCTGCGACGGGTCTCTCAGCTTCGTGCGCAACCGCGCAGGAACGCGCCATTCCCTCCGGCCCAACATATCGACAGCAACACGACAAGACAATGACGACACATCATCGACAAATACCAACCACAAGGACGACACCATCGACTAAAAGAAGAAAAAGCCCTTCGCAAGGGGGAAAAGAACACAAGAACGACACTCGTAAGCATCGCAATCTACGCTCATGGACAACACATTCGCTTTCCCGCCCTCGAGGCACTCACATTCGCTTCACTACACACACCATCAACCCATTTTCCTTATTCTCCTCGCCTTTTCTTCTTTCCCCGCTCTTTGTTACTTGTAGTACTGCTTGCTCTCGGCAGCAACATTTTACGGCCTTGGACGAGATAATGATGACGGAGCCGACATACAGACGGACTCTCCTTGTAATAAACACACCACAATCACTTGGGCACGTAAAATGGGGGAACCGGCGGCCACGTTTGGGTCTTCTCCCTCGGCGTCTTGTCGAAGGTTTCCATCTTTCTCTGCTTATTCATGTTATTTTTCGACCTTTCCTATGTAACTGTCCTTTGAATGTCTTTGCTCCAGGTTGCTGGAGAAAAGGGGGGCGGGAAGAGGGAGAGGATGGTTCGATGCGGTCAGGACGTCCCTGCATCAGAGATACCTACTTTGCGATTTTTTTTTCTGAATTTGAATATGACGGCATACCTTGAAACAAGAGACTCTTCATGCCGTGTCCACTGTGTGAAAAATTTGCGAATCCCGTAGACTAGGATCTTGTCTTCTTCGTCTCTGAGGTCCTGGTACAAACAGAGCCAACGCGCCATCTAGCCCAACAAGACCAACGGCCTACGCGTGAAGCCCAACACACCGCCGCGACGGGCTACCTATTTCCATGAGATCATGACTTTGCATTTCCGAGAGAGAGAAAAAGGATGAACTACCAAACCCCAGGATGCCAATTTTAATACCGATGCCGTAGCCGTATCTCCAGTAGTAGCATCATAAAAACCGTCGTTACCGCTCCACACCGTTCCCTCTTCAACCACATTGCAACTCCCTCTTCTGCTCGCGCTTAGTTCGCCTTCTTGGCGAACTCGACTCTGAGAATCAAGTGCTTGAAACCGAAACCGTCCATCTTGGCGCAGGCCTTGACGGCATCGCTCCGGTCTGCGAAGCTGATGAATGCGAAACCCTTGGCCAGACCCGTCTCTCTGTCCTTGGCCAAGAACACACGAGTGACCCGACCGAATCGCTCGAACATGTCGCGCAGCTCCTGCTCCTCCGCCAGCTCCGAAACCTGTGCAATTCACAATTAGTAACCCACGTACGAACGACAACATCTGTGAGGGATAAAGCCCAATGGAGATGACTCACGTTGGTAACACGCAGGGTAGCCAGGTCGTCTCGCTCGCCGTACTTGCTGCCGCCCATCCTGTCTCCGGCAGCAGCGCCAGCGGCGCCAGCTCTGAGCGCAGGCGGGACATAGCTTCCCTTCTTGGCCCCCGGGCCTCCAGCAGCAGCAGCAGCAGCTCCCGGCTCGTCTCCCATCCCGGCGGCAACGTCGGCCGTGCCAGTCTCGGTGCCGATCGGGGCCATGGTGTCCTTGTAAGGGCAGCGGGCTGTGAAATGCTCGCCGTTGCAAATACGACACTTGACCTTCTTGTCCTTGAGCTTGTCCTTCATGGCCTGGGCGTTGGGGTCCTCGCCCTGCTCCTTCTCATCCTTGCGCCAGTTCGTGCTAGGCCGGAAGATGATGTTCTCACCGACGGAGGTCGTGTCGGGGGCGGGACCGGCGGGATCCTTGGCGCTGAGGCCGAACTTGGACCATGTCTTGCGCTCGGCGACGCGCGGGTTCACCTTTTCCGTGTGCGTGGTGTAGCGGATGCGGCGAGTCGTCTTCACCTTCTGGCCCTGATCGTTGTAACGGAAGGTGATGATGGTCTTGGTGCCGTCCTTGTTGCTGATGGTCTGGGGCGCGGGGAGGTCGGTGGTGGTCTCGTCGACATCTTCGTCGTCGGCCCAGTCGTGCCTGGACAAAGGGAAAGAAGGGGAAGATCAGCATTTCTGTACACCCATCTCACATGAAGGTTTCCCCTTGGCGCTCTTCCTCTGCACACAACTACTTATCCCAGCGCTATTTCCAGAGGAGGGGGGGTAGGGGGTTCTGGGGGAAATGACTGACTTGGTCTTAGGGGTGGCCATAATGGATCTCTTTCTCTGATTGCTGTCCTATCTCGAAGTTGTCGGGAAGGTGATCACGGGTTCTGGCTCGATCGAATCGTGGGTTCGAGGATTGTCAGTGTCGACGAAGCGGGTTGTCGCGATGTCCGATTTCTTGGTGGGGTTCTTGAGGTGATGAATTTTGTGATTTTCGTGGTGCGTCTCCGAGCTTTAGTGTGGGGCAAGCTCGCTATACCGTTTCGGTTCTACCTGCCGGTTTTTTACCACCTCCGTTTTCATTACTGTGGCAACAAGGGCAACACGGTGGAATGTGGACCGTTTTGTAACGGCACCTTCCTGTAGTTTCCCATTGAAGTCTAATTCGACCTTTGAGTGACAATCCAGATGTGAGTCAGTCTGAGACGAGTCCACGAAACACCAATGTTGTGCACCACAAGACACTCGCCGTCCAAAATTTTCATGTTGAATGCTTCTAGCCTTCCCCGAGGTCATCTCGAGGGGATGATGCTTAGCCCTTCCGCTACTAATACAAAAATGCAGGTCATACACTACGTCAACAGGTGTTATCCCAAGGATATCTACGTCGCCTTCTGTGTCATCCAAACCCCAGCCATGATGTATGCCCACCACCGCCGAAACGGTCCAAATGCCGTCCAGATGGTGATTCATGGAATTGGCCCCTTCTTTCTATCCGTAAACGCCGTTTTGCGCAGCTGAAGGGGTATGACGCAAACAAGGTCCCAAACGTTGAAAAATGACAAAAATAAAATGACGTATGAAACGAAACACCTGTGCCGCCTTAGGCAGTTCTACGGACCGTAACCAAGAGACAGAATCGAAAAGGAAATGGTGGTTCATGATCGAACAAGTGAATGACAAGTCAAGCGTTCTCGCGCGCCTTCTGAGGGATTGGAGGCAGCGCGCAGCTTGGTGGTGGTGCGGGTGGGGGCCCCTCGACGAGCTGCGGCATGCTTCGTCTGCCGAGAGACCTGGAGTCGGCTCGGAGATGCCTGGTCGACAGTGTTGGCGGAGTACTGGGTACTCGGGGTGACGACCTTGACCTCGGTGATACCGAGGCGGTCTTTGGGGATACCAACATGGGAGCAACTGTCCTCTCTTGCTCCGGGCTGGCGCTAATGGTAGAGAGCGGGGAAGAAGCGTCGAAGAAAGTGCTCGGTCTTCTGGGGGTTTGTTGGCAGGCTTTGGGTGAGTGGAGTTGTCCAAACTCGCCCATGGGTGAATGGGCAACGGGTAACTCGTCGACCTCGTTGGCCGAAGGCGTCGGAGGAGTCCTCGAAGGCAGGATGAAGGTTCTAAGCTCCGGTGAGAGGGATGCCTCCCCCGGCTTGTTCAGCGAAGGAGAGCTCGCGTACTTTCGCGGGCTGGTACGAACTGTTACTGTAGCAGCCTGCTCTCTGGGACTGAGACTCGTTTGTCTCGGGGGGTAGGCGGCTAAGCCGTCGCCCTGCTGGGCTGGAGCAACCTGTTGCTGGCCAAGTGAGTCGATGAGGCCTTGCACTGGGGAGGGCTGATCAGCCACCATGGAAAGCGGGCGAGCCATGGCAAGAGCAGTGGGAGGCGGCTTGCGCATGCTTCTTGAGCTCGAAAAAGAGTCCCGGTTTCTGACTTGCTCAGGGCTCGCTGTGGGTGACTTCATGGCGCTGTAGCGCCTACTGATGGGCACGCTGAAGTTTGCAGCAACTTGTGCAAGCTCATGTTCACTGTATAAAGTGGATTGAGGGCGCGACATGGGTGAGCTTCTCAGCTCAAGGTAGCCCGATGTCTGCAGTGACTGTCTACGATCAAGGATTGCCGCGGCGTTGGGCCTCGGCCGGACCGTAGGCACCTCCTGACACGGAGGGGGGAGATCCTCGAGGTAGCTGCTGGCAAAGCTATCGCGAACAGGGGAGCACGCAGGCGAAGAGCCAGCCGAGGTCATGAATGTGCGTTGACCAGATGAGATGTAAGAGAGACGGTTGGTGCTATCCCTCAGGCTCTCCAACGCCCGGTCGTCGTGGGACATGACACTATTGGTGGTAGAGATGTCATCGATGGAGGGTTCGCGGGTCATGTCAGCGTCGATGGAAGAATGGCGTTCGGAGTCGTGCAGCCTGGCCTGCTCCAGGTGAAGGCTGAAATCCGGAGGGAGGACTCGCGAGAACCTATCCGGGTCGCGGACAATCAACGTCCGCTGACTAGGCTGCGCCTTCAGCTGTACAACGTTGTCATCAGCTTTAGGCTTGCCAGTCTCAGAAAGATTCTTCTTGCCGCCAAGCGCCTCGATCTCCCGGCGCAGGACCGTAATCCAGGAATCCATTTCCTCCGCGCTCTCAAAAACCATCAGGAAATTGGCGGCGTGTCTCTTATCGGCGGCGCGGAAGGGAAGTCGGGATAGGAGTGATCGCGAATCGGCAGAAGACATGCCGTTGGATTCCATTGCTGAGGAAACCTGGAGAACCCAATGACGTCCGGGAATGGCATCGCTGACGAAGGCAGCAGAATCCTTACCCAGATGCAGCATCTTTTCAGGCAGACGGTCGAAGTTGCCGTCACCAGCATACTGCAACAGGTAGCCAGAGGTGCAGAGGACGTATATCTTGGATGTCCACTCCAGTCTGGTGGTGGAGATTGTTCTCAGGTGCTTCTTTCTCGCCTTTTCGTCAGGCTGGTCATCGCCAAGGTCGGAGGCGAGGTTCAGCTGGGTCAGGTCATCGCGCAGGCTGATGCTGCCCTTCCTGTCATTGAAACGCAGTATAACGTCGGCCGACGTGGTGCAGGCGGGAAGCTGCGCGTGCTTGATCGCTTGGGGGTATGCTTGAAAGAGTGGTGGGGGATCCCAGGTCGCGAGATTGCCACGAGAGGATCTGCCGGATGGTGTCTGTGACCTAGATCGCTCGGTGGTGGTCGGTCTTCTTTGGATGGAGGAATCGGTGAAAGGCGCGTTGGTAGCCACTGAGGTTGGTCGTGAGGCGGCGCCAGATAGTGTGATTTCGGATCTCATGTAAGGCCAGTGGCTAATTTCGGCCAGAGAAGCTCGGATACTACTTGGTCTTCCGGTGTCGAAGTAGGATGTCGAGCTGTCGATCTCGCGGACATTCTTATTCCTCCCAAATATGCTCCGAAGCCCCAGGCGCGAATCTCGTCTGCTGAGCCTACTTTCTGAGCGCAGAGGAACGCGGTTCTGCTGCTCGGCGGGGGCAGAATCGAGATCTGGAGGTCGAGAGCGGCGTGACTGAGTGGCGCGGTACTGGAGGGTCTCAGCAAAAGTGGCAGCGCTGGGGCTGCTAGGCTCAACGTCGGCCATGGCTTGGTGGTTTGTTCCAGCCAGACGTTGAAGTGGTGTGAAAGTTCACGGAAAGGAGAGGACCAAAGTGATTCCAGGTTCCAGTCGGAAGAGAGCGGGCGGTGACCTGAGTATAAGACAGAGAGGGACGGCGGCGCGCTTTGGCATAACAAGCAGCAGCGGGTGGATTCGGTAATGTAAGTTGAGATGGTAGGCATAAGAAACAATCGAATGTGGCCAGGGTGGTGTGGTAGTGGTGGATCGTGGAACCAAGCTCTCTGTATCCCAGCAAGCAAACTGTCGGAGTAGGGTTGGAAACTATTGACGTGTGATGAGAGGGACGTTGTGGGCGAGTCGAATAAGTTTTTGAGGGCGAAGACTCGGTTGCGTCGCGGTAGCTGGCATGAAGCTGGTTGGCTAGGTGTGTCTCGTGTAGGTGTGTGGGTGTGACTGAGCCGGCAACGGGTGAGTGATGAGAATAAGAATAAAAAGGGTACCGAGCTCGATGAGTAGTAGTGTTCACGGCAAGGTAAGGTTGATCAAGTGAGGGCCCGCCTGACGTACCACTGCAAGAGCCGGACGCAGTTGCAGAGGGAAGAGAAGAGGATAAATGAGACAGCAGGACGACAAACCTCCAAGGAAGAGCAGGACGGACGGGGAGGGCATTCGGGGATATTCATAATAATAATAATAATAATAACCAAGCCAAAGCAAGAGCCATCCTGGAAATGGGGGCCAGCGTGAGCGTAGGTAGGTAGAGTAAGGTCCACGTAGGTAAGGTAAGGTACCTATGTGACATTGAGATTGGTGGATTGCCCGCGCAAGGTACCTAAAGTACCTACCTACCTGCTCAGGTCGGATTAGAGCTGGCAGCAGAGAGGCGCGGGTACCTGACGGCAACCTAAGCCGCCGCCGCCGCCTTCCATTTGGATGAGGTGTGTGGGTGCGGTGCGGTGCGGCGTGAACGTGAGCCGACCTACTTCCAGCTACCTTAGGAGCCCACCTAGGGTAGGCTAGGACGGTGCGGTCGACCTACCTTACGACCTTACCTTACCTTACCTTAGGTAGGTAGGCAGGCACACCTAACAAGAACAAGGACCGTGATCGTTGTTATTATTATTACTATGATTATAGATTGTCGCTCGTCCGCTTTGGCGCCCTCTGATGACGAGAGAGGAGACAGAGACGCCGAGAAGAGAGCGCGTCCGTCGTCCAGGCTGAAGCGCAGGACCCTGTTCCTTGCACCTGCTTTTAGTCTAGGTAAGGTTGCTTCCATTGCCATTGCCATCGGCTCTTCAGTCTGTCCATGTACTGCGTAGAATGTGGTATCTGCACAACGCTGGACGCCTCGCATCTTACATCCTGGCACCTGGTTATCTCACCCTTACCTCTCTGCTTCGGTAAAGTAGCCTATCCCTGTCCGCCCACACGCCCCCTTGCTTGAGTCCTTTCGCTTTCCGGATTTGTTGTCACTACCTTGAAAACAAGTGCCCAGTATCCGTACTTGTGATTAGCAGGTGAGTGCGGTGCAGATATTTTGCAGTCGTAGGGTATGGGTACTGTTCATATGCCATCCCATCCTGCCTACTGCAGCGAACCCAGGTATACAAACCTCTTCTCAACAAGCAATATGCCGGCGGCCGCAAGCGCGGGACAGAGCCGGTAAGGAACAGATGAAAGGCATAGGAAAAAACATCAGACCAAAAAAAAAAAAAAAAAAAAAGACAAGCCAGCAAACACAAAAGCATCCCGCACGAAATAAACTCTGCAGGTGCAGCCTCGGCAAGCGATGCTCTTGACGGGATGGCCAAGTTCGAACCAGCGCGCCACACACACCCCCATCCATCGTCGTCATGTCGGTACTCTCGGACAGGGTCCTTAGGGATCTCGACTCGACGACGGGGTAGTGGGACACCAAATCACCGCGGTAGAACAAAAAATTGACACGGCGATGAAAAACTAGATTGTAAGAGGGTCACTCTGATCTTTGATGATGTCCAGTCTCCAGTCTCCAGTCTCCCGGTCAAAGTCCAGGACAGTTTGGAACCAATCACACGGGAAGCGCAGGAAGCTCTTCCCCGAACGCAGTGACGAGTTCCTGTTCCCCCCAATTGCCCGTCGCCCATCAATCACATCCTTAGCGAGCCCCCTGTGAATCGTTGAGCCCTGGAGGTCCAAGAATCCATCACCCGGATCGTCTGGCCCCTGCCTGTGTTTCTGTGTTCCTGGCCTCTGCTACCAAACTTTGGCAAATGGCAAATGAAGCGTCTTCCCAAAAGAGCGACCGAAGGACAATCCCGACATGGGTGGACGACAAAGAAAGGAAGCAGCAGAAATGAGGCCTGTCGGTTTCGCCGTTGACACACGACACGAAATGACCCAATGCGACACCGGCGGTTGCTGTTCGTGTCCTGTGCGTGTTGGATTATGGATGCATTTTTTTTGTGAAAAGTACGTATCGTCCAGTTTACCTGTGGTATAAAAGACATTTAATCTACCTTGGCAACAGAAGGAACTGTTGTCTATCCGTAGGACTCTGGATGGATTGAACTTGGACGGCCTTTCCCCTGTCGTCCATCGTCCGGGGATGTTTTGAAAGTGTGAGGAAGAAACGCGCCAACGGCCCCTTGCTGTCTCCAGCGAATCCCCGACGTGTAAAATCCGACGGGGCGGACACGTCGAGTCTGCAGGGGAGCAGAGCAACGACGTCCCATTCTAAAAGTGGCATAGATCGGACCTCCACAACGACATCTCTCGCAGCTCGCACGCACAGAGTAAGGTACGCGGTAAGGTAGTGTACTGTAAGCTGCCTTCCATAGGTAGGTTCACAAGTACCCCCCACTCTTCCACCAACAGCACGAGCACGGAAGCTGCTGCCCTGGAACGGTAAGAAGCTCACACCCCACTCCCCCACTCCGGCGCATATGAGCTGGAAAGTACTACCTATGTAAGCGCCTTGTATGTGGGAGAAGAGGAAGAAGCAAAAAGCAAATATATGAGATGGGCCCCAGGCTCAGTCCGAGGAGAGAGAAGAAACCGCGTCGGAAAAGAAAAGAAGGCTAAGAGGAATTTTCACAGGAGAAAAGCAACGAGACACCACGATTGCGGATTCATCATTCAGCTGGTATGTGTCACCCAACACCTCGCCTGAATTACCTAGGTATCCGTACCGACCATCGATCGCACCTTGGCTCGGACAGGCACAGCCTCTGCCATTCACGACGCTCACATTACCTACCTAGGTATCTAAGATAATTAGGTAGGTATGTACGACGACGCACGCACGCACGCACAGCAATGCGAATGCGCTCCTCCCGCGCTTCCTTCACAATTCGTCTAGAACCACCATGGGACCCTCGTGCGCTCGACTAGCTTCGTAGCGCGGGAGCTTTGGCGTTTTGGTGTCTGTCGTGTGATGGTATGACCATTTTCTCCGAGCTTTCGAAACAGTAGCCTGGAACCTCTCCAGAGCTTGCCTCCGCAGGTTCGGTTGAGTTTGCCGGTATTCGTAGGTAGCCACCGGCCGGCGGCAGGGTGCAGGTAAAGTGAGGTGTGAGGTGGTGCAAACCAGGGAACCTGCCGTGCCCGCGAATTAATGAAGATGTGCGCTGCTTGCCCCACGGTATGGCCCCTTCATCATGAGGTAAGGTAATGGAAGATATCCGTAGCCGGCTCTGCTCCCAAGCTGCGCGAAACAAATACAGAAGCCCCTTTGATTTGGAGGTCCAGATTCCCTCGGCATCGCTTTCTCTGGTTGCAAGATTTGAAGATCCTGCGACTCCGCCTTGAATCTCGACCCCCCCCCCCCCTTGCCGCTCAATCCGATTGTTCGTCAGGCAGCCTTCCCCGTCTTCCATTCGTGTCAATTCGATATGGTCCAACACGTCGGCGTCTAGAGACCTCCTAGCCTTTCTTCTCTCTCGGGATTACTTATAGCGCCTCCCTCTTGACACTTGACGAAACACTTATCAACAGCCACTGCCGCCACTTGGACGACATGAACGCCTGCAGATTGCAGCCTGACGACCTCAGTGGTCCAGGCGCCCGAATCCTCTGACACGTTTGCGCCGTACAACTGAAGCGTGGTTAGAGGGAATGGGCAGCGCGAAGCTTGTAAAGGAAATGCATGCGAACCCGCGACCTGGGTGCAGAGTGTACAGATAATACCTACGACATACCTCATACGGGCTTGCGGGATCGTGCGCAAAGGGTCTCCATTGCATGTCTTCATTGACGACTGATGTTGAGCACGCTCAGCCGATGCAGCTGCCATCCGACAATTGCGCTCGCTCTATCCGTAAGCACAGAGCAGGCATTTCCAGGCATTTCCAGGCAACCCGCTCAGGCGGCGACTCCCGGCAGAGGTGTTTCTTGGTGTTGTTCAGACGACTAATGCATCTCCAAACCTTTCTTGCGGAGTCGCGGCTGTCGGACCACAGCGTCGACAGTGCAAGCCAGCGGGAACGCAACAGCAACTTGCAAAGGGGCAAATTATCCCCCTTTTACAGTTGTCCACGGCATTGGGAACCGCGTGATGTTTGTTTATTGTGTCCAAGCTCTCAAGGCGGGCGCCGAGCGGCTCTTTTCGCTCGAGCAATCCCCCATATCATGCCTTCCCTGCCTTAAGTGAACCGACCCTGTTGATACCTTCTAGGTATCCGTAAGGTAAGGTACCTAGGTAAAGTGAGATACTATGTAAGGTACCTTACCAAGGGCTGCTGGCCCCAACCCGGCCACTACTGCCGGACGGGTCCCTGATCTTTGAGCTCTCAGGGCTGGCCGTCAGGTCCTTCCCCGGCCCAACGCCGTTGTCGACACAATTTTCCGCCTCGGAGATGATGTGTGGCAGCCGCCCAGTCAGCTTTCGCCATCCCAGATTCTCAACTAGCAATTACTAAATAACGTCGGCGACGAACTTTTCGCTATCCGTACCACCCGTCCGTTCTCTCGCCTGCGCCTAACCATGACTTGCCCAGGTACATTTGCCGACTGGCCCTTTGAGTCGTCAGGACCCCAATCAA